AATTTTTTTATATTTTTCCAAACTTGCTTTTTTTAAAATAAACAATGCAAAAATTATCCCTTTAATTATTTTTTATGTTTTTACATTACTATTATTATTTCTAATACACTATAAAGTAATTTTATTAAAGAAAGGAGGATGTATAACATATATGGACATATATTTCATACATAATTATATAATTATACATGTTTATGAATATTTACGCGGGTTTATGTATGTTTATACATATTTATATATATTTATGCAGGAAAAATTTTTTACCGAAGATTACAGAACGTAATAAAAAATAGGCACCAATACCGCCAAGTAATCACGTGACCAAAAGTATCATTTACAGATCTGTTCGTGTTGCTTAAACTTTCTGTGCACTCAGCAGCTTCGCTCCCTCTCTTTTCATCGGTCAAATATATATTCATCTCATGTTTAAATCAAAAATTTATGGGGATTTGAAGCAACGCGATATAGAATCACTTTTATAAAAGAAATGCAAACTGTAAGTGGATAATTTTCTTTATGCATATGTTTATGCGTTTGAATTTTGGAAATATAGCCTTTGTATTGAATCAATTGATGTTTAGGAATCCAGATCCGATACGCTACGATATGAAAACAAAAGTTTTGATGTCACTAATATCAAAAGGGGTTATAAATAATATTTCAAAATATCGATTATATCAGAACATCCCTAATTGACAATATGATATATTATATGAAATATATTTGCGTATTCTACATTTAATTCTTGTGAGATAGATTACTGAAAAGGTATATTTACCTTGTAAAACAATCGATCGGCAAACTGCAGTATTTCCGCCCAAGCGTTCATCCATGTATGCAGCAGGAGATAATTTATGGTGACAAGGAAGCAAATGCCGGGAAAACTAGACTTGATGGTATTCTTGACGTACCATTTCCAATCCAGATGTTGCGTGCCGAATACGTGGTAGGCCGGTAATATCAGGCTTTCCAAGATAAAGGCGAGATAGAAAATTGATAGGCCAAATTCAACAAAATTACGAATTACTACCATCCATCTAACTCTTTTTGTCCTAAAAAAGAATCAATATTACTCAAATAGACTTTTTTCCAAAGTTTTCTCAATTTAATGTAGCTAATATGGCAGTATTATTAAATTATCTTTTAGTATTATGATGAAACTTAAGCTATATCTTCGAATTGAATTATTAAAGAATTATGACATATTGTTCGTATATTTCGCGAACAAACTTGGAAATTTTTTTTTCTAAAGCCATATAAATCCATTATTGTCAAATAAGAAGGTAAATTTTATAAATTATAATTAAGTAGCTTGTCCTCTTATTGTACAATTAAATGCTTATGTCTTAAATGTTTATTTTTTCAAAGAAATTATGAAATATCTTTACCTGGGATATTCGTCGCGGTACACAAGAGTTGGTGCGAAAAGGAAATATAAATATTGCGAGAATCTGGGCTCATTCGGTGGCGGAATTTCGCTGTGAGGTTTATATGACAAAAATCTAGATGCTACGGTTCTGACAAAAGCGTGACACTTCATTATCATACGTATCTAAAGAAGCAAACATTATTTTAAGTAGAAAAATTTTTACTCTAACAACTATTGTAATATTGGAATAATGAAAAATAATCAACTATTCTACATATTTATATATGTAAATTGATGTCACAAAACACATGTAGATACAAATTACGTTAATGTCTTCGACAATAAGAAAAAAATCATTAACAGATTTTATTTACTATATTTGTACTATTAAATATGGTATGTAAAACGAAAAAATTGATTTAAGTATTTCTGCGTATACTTTGCAAATAAATTCATATTTTTTGTTTCTAATGTTATAATTCACGTTATAAATGCAGGTTTTAAAAAGTGCTTACTTGTTCCAGCATTATAATCATTCTACAACATATGGAGAGATTCGCGCCGAGCATCGCCTTAATAGGACAAATAATAAAGAGAATTTGATACAATATAAATATTAATAGCCAGCTGTAATCCCATAATTTTTGGAGGGAAGCTGCAAAAAAAGATACAGTTGAATCATTTGAATCAATTAATATTATCTAACAACTTTTACAATTATTACGATCAATTATTTTTGCACTACGTCATTGTTCAATATAATTTCAACTTAATTAATCAATTATTACTACAAAGAAGATTGTACATAAAATTGAAATTTTATTTTATAGATTTCTTTTTAAACTACTTTTTAAACCATACAAGCGGTTTATTTCCAATTTTTAATTTCTCAATTAATTTAACTTTTATAATGTTTAAATTAAACACATTTATCTAAACTTGAACTGAAGAGATCGTTACATTTTGGCAAGAATTGAAGTCGCCGGTACGCCCAGAGGGTGAAAGCCGCATAGACACCGAATGTCGAGGCCTGCATGAATGACCAAATGAAGATGCACGTTGGGAACTTTGCAAAGGCATACCGTAAAGTGTTGGTGCCAACGCGGATCCTTTTAGAATCAGTAATTAAAAAAGGAAATTAAGCTGTAAGAATCAAAGCGTGGTTAAAAGGTAACAAATATGCAAAAATAAAGTAATTAACCGAGTTGTTTAATAATTAATTTGTTTATGTATTTTTTTCTGTTTTCCAACTAAGGTTCATTGCACTTGGTAATAAATGGACAGATATCTTAATTATCGTCTTTTATCACGAGTAGTTTTCCAAACACAATAATGAAGTGACTGTCATTTTCTTCAACCCCGATAATATATACGTCATATTTCACAGTCAGATAATAAATACGGTTCTGAGTAGTCAGACAGTATGAAATTATAATCGACGTGAAATCACCAAATATCTTTTAAAAATGTGAGACAAAATATTTAAAAACTTAATTTGAAAATTTAAGACCAAATTATTAAAAATAAAAGAAGAATTAAATTTAAAAGTTTTGATTAAAAATTTAACTAATATTATAAATGTTATATAAAAATATATATTTCTATATTTTCAAATATAGTATATTTCACAAAACAATACTTATGAATTTCTCCAAATCAACGAAATTGATGATTCTGCAGTAGAGGCTAATTAGATTCTCATTGCCAACTTACGTTCCATACTCTATAATATCGCATGCGATGGAGTTGAGAAGGAAAAGTAGGAAAGTCATCATGAATACATTGTAAACTGTGCGAATATGCGGGATGTTGAAGAGATCAGTGAGCAATGAGTTTCTTTCGAGGAACTCCTTATTCGGTAGTGCGCCTTTTTTGCTGGATTCTCTGCAAGAATATTAAAAATGCAAATATAATCAGTATAATGAAAATAAAATGTTTCATTGATTATGTTGTAAATTTAAATTATATATATTCTTATGTTATTAGATTTAAAAAGAATGTACTCTCAATACAACGCATAATCATTGTGATATACTGCGGTAACTGCCAAAAATGCGTAGCCCTTTTATTTTATTTCATTTATTCATTTTCATTAGAAGCTGTCGAACTTTAACTGTTTAATCGCCAATAAATATTATATATGTATTTTTTAGATTCTTATCTTTACAATTATATTATATTACTGTACAATATCATACTTTATTGAATATAATATTTTAATAAAATATTTTTAATGTCAAGACAAATAGTAATAAAAAGTTATATGGTTCAAATATTATAAAATTTGATTTTATTTGAACTTTGTGACACTTTTACTTTTTTACTAGAAAAACTAGCTTTATGCAACAATATTGTGTTACTTTTCACGTTGATATATTTTTTGCTTTAAAATTTATTGTTATAAACTAAGAAGGTACAATTTTGAACAAGGTATAATTGCATGTAAAAGTAAATGGTGACTTTCAACTTTATCTTCAAAATAAAATAATGTAGCAAAACGCTGCAAATGCCATTTTTTTTATATAAAAAAACGTTGCACTTTCAATGCAATGAGAAAATTTGTTATTTACACTGTACTCTAATGTCATATACTACAATAAATCTTAAAGCTTATTTAGGTACCTATAGCAGATACTTATAGTAGTTTTTACTAGTAAAACTGGTGCCAGATATGTTACCATGTTAAATTACATGCACGCAATACTGGTAAGCATTAGAAAACGATGGGAACTTATTTGTACACCATAAATTCAAATTCAATTTCAAAATTGTATAATGTTTGTAACTGTTCCACATTATACTATACTCGTATTTTCGGGTATTTGTGGAATTATCTACACTATCTGACATTTGTCAATAAGTAGATACAAAAATATATACTTTTAGATTCTTTTCTATTTTTTCTCTATTCTGATGATTTCTCACCTTTTGTCACGATGTTTGTCTGTTCTATATAGCAATTCTCCATTTTTTGCCAAAGGTACTGCTATCTTCTGATGAACGTCAGACATCATGTTATTAATGCGGTGGTTAACGTATTCCAAAACATCCTGTCTTATTTCCTATAAAGAAATACATTTTATATTATTCCAAATATATCAGAGAGTCACGTCATCTCTTACGAAATCGCATCTTCTTGGTTTAAACATTTAAATGATAAGCGATTAAACATAGTCGTAACGTTCGACGGTATACTAGTTCTATAAACTTAATAAAACTATTTAAATTTATATTGCAATTACGATCAAGTTGAGGTCAATGATATTTTTTTCGCACCTGAATTGTTTTTTGCAATACATCAGCGATCGCCTCATATAAAATATCTGTGAATGCATTTCCGTTGACTGCTGAAATAAAAAATTCAGAGATGTGCATGACATATTTATGTACTTTGATGATGTATATAAGGAAAATAAATTTTTTTTCTACGAGTTGTTTAAATTATATTGTTTCCTTTTTTAAATAGTTTTCTAGTCATTGCGCTACAATTTTTGGTCATTGAGTTATTAAAATTGAGTAGTGTATTTTCCGATTTTTTTCTCTAAAAACCTGTACTGAAAAAAATTGATAAAATTTTAATATATATTTGTTTAGATCAATGTTGAGATTTACTTGCATTTTAGCCGATTTTCAACTTGGTTTCTATTCCTTAAGAATCAAACTGAAAATCCGCAAAGTGTAAGTAAATTCCAGTTTTGATTTAGATACTATATTACAATACAATAAGACAATTAATAATACAATAGATAATTACAATACAATATAATAATAAGATAATATAATAATAATAATAAGATAATAATAATTAATTAAGATAATAATTAATTAAGATAATATTAA